CATCCGGTGAGTCCGTCGATCGAGTGGGCGTTCTGATGACCACCCGACTCAGATGAGCACCTGGCTCAAAACAAGTTTCTTCAAAAGAGCGAGATCGCTCCACAGCAGCCTCGATTGTCAGATCTATGGAGACCTCATCTTGAACGATGTGCTCCTCTTCATCCTCATACCCGTACTCATAGTCATCGCCTCCCACATGCTCTTCCTCCCGTCTCCGGCCTCTGTTCGCATCGAACTCAGCAATGTCATCAGCCTGCTCAGGCAAGAAACCAGTATGACGCCTACTGAGATACTGCTCTTCTTTTCCATTCCCACCTAAACGCCTTCCAGTCCTATTCCTAGACCTACTTCTCGAGTTGGAGAGGCGTCTGGCGTCGCGCCTTACCAGATCGCCAGATGCATAACGAATGAAGCGGCGACCAATATATGTGGGTGTCGCCTCATATTCTCCAGGTTTTAGAGTATGGCCGATGTCTCGATAATCATTGGTGATAGGATTGCCTTTTTCTTCAATCGGACTTCCACCAACAGCTTGCGGACTTGGCGCGCGAGCCCTGGCAATTTCGTCCTGGCCTGGTTCTTTCTGATCCTGCGTCTGTTCGACATCCGCAGCTTCTGAATGTGCCTGTGATTTGAATGGGTTGGCGTTCTTATCTGGAATCGTTTCGATATGGTGCTCTTCTGCGTGCGGTACTAACTGCTGCGTAGTTTTCGCCCATCGTGACGCAAGGAGACCGACATTCTTCTCACCTTGCTGGCTGTTGTCTTGTAGCATGTTCTCTTCAATCCAGGTACGCTGCCGTATCAATTATAAGACCTTGAAAGTAGACCTTACAGGAAATGAGGACCGGCCTCACGGAACACGCTGTAAATCACGGCAGATATGCTAAACTCGAAGGCAGAGATCATATGACGGTAAAGCAGGAACGGAAATACTTGTCAGTACCAAAATACAATATATAGGTCAGAGGGAGATAGAACAACAGGAAGGGTGGCCGTAGCAAATATCAGTATTACCACTTCAGCCGCCTCCTCCATGAAGCTGCAATGTTTGACCGCTATCATGCTTCCAAGATTGCTTCTCTCGGAAAGGCTAGTGACAATGTCTTTAGAACATCTCTTTTGTTGGTTGTCAAAGGGCATAGGGCGCAGGATGGGAACCCTTCTTTTGAAAGGCCGGAGTGCGGTTTTTGGGTGCTAAAGACAAAGCCGAGTTGCCTTGTTTGCACGAGTGGTGAAGGTTCTCTCCACAAAGGAGCGGTGCATTGGGGGGGGTGGCTTTGTCTTGAATATCGACTGCTATATTCTGCATCGTTATACTTCAGCTGCATTGGGGCATGCAGTTATCCTGTAGGTTGGAACGAAGAAAGGAAGACGGTAGACATGTCGTGATTATTCATGCGAAGGCTATGAAAAGTAAACACAGCTCTTGCTCGCATGCCAGAGGTTACAAAGGAAATCATCCCAGGCTACGCACCTGTTCGATCGAGTTGTGGGCTAAGTCCTCTAAAGCGCTTGATCATCACGATAGGGTATCCTGGCAGCTGTCGCTCAGTGCAGCTGCAAGGCCTTCTTGCAATTCTCATAGACAACGTAGGTGATGCTGACGGCAGGTACCACTTTGAGCAAATTTGGCGTCAAGCCCTTGAACAAACCTCTCACTCCCTCACCCTTGATAGTCTGCCTTGTCACATCGATGATGCCGGTATAGGTCCTGGGGTGCGAAGCGGTGCCTTGACTCTGCAGTCTAGTTCTTAGCAGATTGAGCGGATACACGATACTAGCACCGATAGCACCGCTGAAGCCACCCATGAGTGCCAATGTGAAGTTGCCAGGTAGTGCATCCTGTTCGTTCTTGATCCCATACTTCTCCATCCTTCGGCTGACCGTGTAGCGCTTCAATGCCTCGAAAGTGCCTAGGTCGATAGCGGCGTAGGGGAACATGCCAACGAGACCCATAGGCAAACCTCGGTAGAAAGAAAAGATACCGTTGCGCGCCCACATCTTCTGGGCTGTGTGTAGTAGAAGTCGGTTGCCGTGCTCGCCACCAGGGACTGTCTCACATTGCATACGGAATTTGAGTGTATCCAATGGGTAGACGACTGCTTGAGATATCATGCCGGCAACACCTCCTGATACGAATTGGCTGACATTGTTGATGTGCGACGGGTCACCATGACCTTCGACCTTGGCTACAGCACGCTTGGCAGCCTCGTACGAGCCGAATTTGACTGCAGATTCCGGCATGACCTTAATCACATTGATGCCGTTGCCTATCGTATTGTACTAAAGTCAGTAAGTGGCGCAATATCGAATGCGCAGAGCCAGAGTGGGCCAGCTGCATAAAGGCAAAGCGTACCTGCAAACAAGCTCCTCATGCCACCGGCTGCCCAGAGTTCTTGACAAGCACCTATCAGGGATTGCATGCCATGCTTCGTCGCCTTCACCGCCGCGCCCGATTTAGCTGCCGAAACAGCTTCTGAAGCCGTACCCGTCTGCGCGATCAGGTAGACTTTCAGTCTATCGAGCGGTGCTGTCACCGTACGAGACGTGATGCCAGATACACCACCGGCAACGAAGTAGCCTGGATTTGGGATCAAGTCCGTCAGCGTGAGTCCTACCTTTTCCTCTCCTTCTTCTTCCTCCTCCTCGACTTGTGAACCATCGACCGATGACGGCTTTGATTGTGATGGAATTGGTTTCCGGCGCGCTGGCTTGATTGGAATATGTGGGTCTTCATTTTGAATCAACTCCTCGCCTTCTCCCCCTGCCGCATACATGACTCCAGTGGAGGGTGTGTATGCGGCGACAGCGAGATCTTGCTGTATTTCTCCTCCATCTTGGAAATCGCCGATGTAGTCTCTTCCCTCTATCCGCTGCTGTTCCCATGGTGTCTCAAGTCGAGGAGAAAGTGGTTTGACAAGCTGGAGTATTGCGCCAAAGAAGAAGCGGGCAAGAAAGGAGGAGAAGGAGGAAGAGGAGTTTGTCGTACCGAAGCTGTTCAGTGCCTGGTCACTCAGATGCACGTCACCCTCAGATGATACCCGCACTGCGTTCTGATAGTATGACAACACCGCCTTCATGCCGAGTGCAGATGGAGGGATGAAGAGGAGAAAGTCTGCAAGGTGCATAAGGTCAGCATGCGAAGCGCTACATGGTGGTCGAACGTGGTACAGACCTCTCCATTCGGCAAAGCTGATGGTTCCGTTATGGTCCTTATCAATGTATCCAAAGAAACGATCTAGCCTGTCCCTTTGTACCTTGACTCCAGCGGCCTCGAAGGCGCTAGATAGTTCCTCCTTGTCGAGCTCACCACTATGGTCGCGGTCGATGTTATTGAAGAGCTTCCAGAGCTCATCTTCGGTGTGCGCGACAAACTTGCAGAACTCGTCATAGGAGATCTTGCCATCATGATTGATGTCCGCAGTGTCGAGGACTTCATGAATTAGAGTATCGGCATCCTTGAGGGCTAGAGGATGGTCAGTAAATTCACAAAGACTCCTTAGTGGAGCCTAGCGGAGGCTTTTGAGGTTCAGGTGAAAGCTGCCTACGGTGATCGAGCTTGTTCAGGCCATTCTTCAGGGCGGGAAGGTCAAGAGTGCCTTTCTTCTTCGTGTCTAGTTTCTCCCATAATGCGCGCACACGCGCCTCTCGTTCCGCCCGAGTCTCGCCATGAGGCTCGCCATCCATGCTTTTGCTTCAGAATCGGTTATCTCGGTTTCATGGCTTTAGGTAGTTGATGCCAGCCACGCGCGTAGGGATTGCAGCTCCGTATACCAGTTATGCGGCGTGGTACGGGTTGGAGAGTAATCCAGGCGGAAAGAGAACAGCGAGAATGGCGGTAAGAGGGTCGTTGTGGAGTTATTCCGGCAGAGAAAAAGCGATAACAAGGTGTTTGTTTCGGTACACAAAAGGGACGTGAATTGTTTCTTTACCGAGATTGAAGCTCCCTCCTCTCCCTCTGCTTCTGACCTCTGACCGGCTTGCCCTGTGACGTCCACCGAAACCCGCGGATAACCATTCGCCGCACGCCCACGCAACCCGGAAGACCCTATGTTCGGAAGGGCCGACATCAGGGCAGACTACTGTAGGTATGGGGTAAGACAAGCATGTACTGCCTGTTCTTCAAAATTGACTTTCCTTCAACTGCAATGCCATCATCTCACTCTCCCGTTCGACACTCAATAAGCTTACCACGCGAAAGTCGGCTATTCCTCCACGACAACTCGGATTCGCGGTCCGGAACATGACTTCTACCGGGCCATTCGATTGCATCGTGTGAAGCACATACTTTTGCTTCGATCAAGTTTGGGACGACCAATGCTTGTTAAGCGCAGACCCCACAACTGGTAGACTACGTGTTGATGGTTAAGGGACCCCCGAATGGTCACCCCAGCAGTGTGAGTCTTGTCAGAACGCAAAGGCAGTCAAGACTATGAGAAGATTTGGGTGCCAGAGCCTGGCAGCGAGGGAACAGTCTGACTTGATAACATCTGAATGGATACACCTATATCACTATTTGACTTGCATACTGATCATATCCGTGTATTGCATATGTCTTGGGGTGTGAGTTTTGGGCGTTCTCATAATCGTCCCATCTCGCTCTATGCGGTATCAAAGCCTCCGCATGTGTCTGGAACATTGCAGCAGAAATTGATCATCTTACTGTTGTTGAGATACAAAAACCCAAAACAGCAGTCTGGATATCATCGCATAGCAAAGGCAGCCATATGCCCTCGCAGCACGAGACTGATAATAAGAACAACTTGTCAGCCGCTGCACCTTCTCTGTTCAAGACCGAGTCGATCATTCATGACTTCCCATCACGAGAGCTGGTACGAGAGGTACCTAATGAATTGATAACAAGATCAGTACTGCTAGTCCACCCATAAGACTGATACGCAGTTGCGATGATGAGTTTGATGTTGGTACGCCAGACAATTTAGGCTTTATATTTTAGCAACACTACATAAACACGTGATCTAAGAGCCGAAGTTCGAAGTCCTTTGACGCAGTGGCTAGCGTGTCGTTCTTATATGTCTCGCGCGCGAGGGCATATGGCTATCTTTGCAATGCGAAAGTCGCGAGTTCGAATCTCGCAAGGACTATTCCTATTTTTTTCGTCCTTTCCTAAACCCCAACTCGATCTTTCTGACTCACAGTTAGTTGATCATACAGAAACAGTCGAAACGATTAGACACTGTGGTGAGGACATACATAGTGTCATATGATATCCAATGATCAAACGTTCGTGAAACGACTAAGGGGCTTTCGGAAGCGGGGTCTAGGCTCGGCATAGAGACTGGGGCTTTCCTGGCTGCAAAGCAAGAAGATGGATAGGGTACGGGAGGGTTCTGTCGTTGGAAGCATTCAGGAACAGCGAATAGCCATTGCTTTGCGTGCTGTGTTTTGAGTACGAAAACTGGGTTTCTCTGGATTCCCAATGGAATTAGAATCGCACACGTTTGGGAAGTACACAAAGACTGACAGCCTTGACGCGCTTAATGTATTTGGCTATGGGACATGGTTCATAGCATTGGCTGTCAATGGCCTCATGTTACTACTGATTATCCTATACAGTGCTGCTGAATATACACCACGTCTAGTAATACTCGACTTAAGGGGTTGATTTCATGAATTCAAACCATAGAACCTGCCACTTACGCAACCAACACTGACAGGTATAGCACTTCACTGGCCTTTTTAGGCCGGCTCTGACTTTGTGCCACCTCGCTGGATGTTTGCCCGCGTCATCTTGAATATTCCACAGTGAACCAGCCAAATCTCAAGATGGAGCCTATAGAGATATGACTGTTGGGTCCTCTAGTGAGGTAAGGACCAAGCTGAGTTTGAGAAGGAACTGTATTCACCTGCCGAGCGAGCTACTTTATATCCACAATATGACCCCAATGGCTGATGTCTGGTGCGGACCAACCATTCTAAAGCAGGAGCTCATACTTTCGACTAGATTGGCTCGACGAGGCAGCGGCGGCGGTGATGCAAATGCTAGGGAATTTTCGACGAACGCTCGGTTACAAGATTATCTATAGACCGAAGCCCTCCCTTCGCCTGTGGCGTTCTTTTGATCGGTAGTGTGCTGTTCAAAGTTGCGCGATACAGCAATGAATGGTGCGGTGGTGGTGATGTTGAACACAATGTTTGAGCGATAGATGTAGTGATCTAGGGAGGCCATGGTACAAGGAGACACTTCTAAACAGGAGCGAGCGCAAACTCACGTACTCTCTTTCTGGAATGGCGAACTTTCAAGTCAATAGTCGAACTTTTGACGGACAGTGTACCAAATGAAGGATGCTCAAGCTCATTGTGGGAAGTGCTTTTCACTTTTCGCCTAGCCCGCGTTTTAACAAGCATTAGCTGTTTGGCGTGATGTGTTGAGATGATAGTCAATATGCTATCCTAGTATGGCCGTATTAGAGGAGCGGCAGTGCAGTACGTTGGTGCGCCTTCGTAAAGCCTCGCGCTGGAGGTATTGGTTGAACAGAGTAAATGCTGGAAGCACCTCTTCACAGCTGGCTGGCCACCACTAACACCCTTCGACTGTGGCCGAAATTTCGTTGGTGGTATCCTGCTCTATATAAATGAGACTGAAGCATCTCGATGAGCGATCTGTAGTTAGAGCTCCACGACAAGTGTGGATGGTCTTATACCGTCGATATGGAAGAGAACGTGCTGATATGTATATCATGTCTTTGTCGGAATACCCAGAAACCCGTGTGCTTGGACTAAACTCTCTTGTCATCCACGAAATCGAACCTTGACGCCATCTTAACCGTAGAAGCTCCTTGCGAGACGTAGGGTTCTTGTTGTGTCCATAGATGTCAGACCCTCGTTGCTTTGGCAATTTCAGCTTGCACGCATCTCGTCAGGCCTCAAAATCTCAACGTTCTTCCACGCACCAAGACCGCCTCTAAGTCCGCACAGGAAGAGACACAGCCCCTTGAAGAATGTTGGTGGTTTGGTGTGGTTTTGTACGTGAGATGGAGAATGAGGCTGAATTAAGGCAACTAGATCTGCAGGCACGAGTCATTGGGCTTTTGCGGGGAGAGCTGTAACCCCTGCCTGGTCTTACCTTGTACTATCCTTGTCGAAGCAGAGCGCTGCCTACCTAGACTTTGTGCTAACCATCGCGTCTTCCCTCCACACATCGGCGCAGTCATTCATCTCTTACGCTCAAATTTCTTTCTGCTTCTACACTTTGTTGTACCCTTCTAGCTCCTCGCAATGCTCTAGAATATGAAACAATTTTCACCTTGCCGTCGCAAAATGCCTTGAGGCTACAACCGCAACACGCTTTTCATTCAAGTAGGCGTCGTTTGGCTGCAGATCTCGACATCGCATCAATCTCGGCCGTCCAAGGGACACACTGAATAACATGCTGGCCATGAGTGACGCAAAGCTCCCTCAGAACGCCGGTGACGACATGTTCAATACTCCTACTAGCCATCGCTGCCATGACCTCCAGCACCCGGATCCCTTGACAACAGCTCTAGCCAGCATCATTCTGGTCGGTATCTTGATTTCATACTTGCCACAGCACTGGAAGATCGCTTCGCGACGCAGCAGTGAGGGTCTTTCGCCATGGTGGGTTTTACTTGGAGGCCTAGGCAGTATTGCCGCTATAGGCTGCATACTGGTCCTACCTTCAAGCAGGACCGACATGAGCTGCTGTCGTGAGATCAGTGCTGGCGCATGCGTTGGTGCCTTATTGGGGATCGCCCAGATTGGATTGCAGTGGGCATGCTTCATGTTCATGTGAGTTCTCTTTCCCTCATAGCGATTATGCTACCATCTCGCGACCAACGGAACTCAAGACTGAACTGACTCCTTAAAGTGTTTTCTTGTTTCTCATCTTCTTTCCCGGCACCAATCCTGCTACTACGGCTGCCTCTCTTGAATCTTCCACGCCTTCTTTGACCTCTACTGCGCCCGCGACGCCGCCAAAACGGCGCGATGCACTTATCGTGGGCAGCGTCACCCTTCTTACCTTGCTTGTAGTCTCGATCACTTCTCTTGCCATTGTCAGTGCTTACCCACGACACACTCAAGTTTGGGCCAATATTCTTGGTACATTTGCTGGACTTCTCAGCGCGGTTCAGTACTTGCCGCAGATATACTATACCTGGCGATTACAGGATGTAAAGAGCTTGAGCATTGCGACGATGATAATCCAGGTTCCTGGCGCATTCCTGTTCGCGCTTTCGCTCTGGCTGAGGGTTGGATGGGAGGGATGGGGCACCTGGCTGATATACATTGTCACTGGAGTTCTTCAAGGAGTGCTGTTGGCCATGGCTATCTGGTTCAATTCCAGAGCAATAGATAACAGTGCCAAAGATGCCACTGGAGGGTGGGATGGTGCAGTGGACCATGACGATACCGACGACGAGGGAGCCATTAGGAGCAGGGAGGGCACAGTGGACGAACGCTCGCGACTGCTCACAAGGAACCGAACTCTGAACCGAAGAGCCAACGCCAGTTATGGCAGCGCAAGATCAGAGCCACGAAGCGTAGAAAGAAGCCAACGCTCGCTGTCACGGGAACATGAGGCAGGGACTGTTGGCGAGCGTACTAGCAGTCGCAACCTCAGCTTGCTATACAAGCACACACCGCCGGATCAAGATTCGGACCCTGAGGAGTCAGATGCAGAAGTGCAAGCTGAGCAGGAGAACGGAAGTACGCGTGGCGGTAGATGGAGAAGGAAATAGAACTCCTTGTTCAGGGTGGATGAGATCATTACAGATTCTGAGCAAGAGGAATGATTTTCTCCTCTAGAGATGTATTCTATGCTATCGTTTTAATCGTAAGGAAGAGATGAGGAGCACTCTACAAGGACAAGGTCGCTGACTATCAACCTCCAGCAAATGACGCGATGTCCATATGTTCACCGTCTTTCCAATTGCCAGCAAGGCACAAGATATACATGCTTGTGACGAAGCTGCAGTCTGCATGTGCGAAGACGTTATCTACTATCAGATCCAATCGTACACCGCCCTGCGTCATGCGCCCCGCAAATCAGCTGAAGATTTGGAGTTTTTGCATCTAGACGCTCGGACCATATCTGGTAAAATCTCAGGTCCAGAATTTCTCAGGTTCGACCGAGAGTTGTCCTTCTTGATTCTTTTCCTCCATCAATCTGCCAGTTGATCCCTGCCGTCCCTTCTTTAACTATAATTATTTGATTGCAGGAAATAATATCTCTTGGAAATGGTAGGCCAAGAGCAGGAGAGCATGATGGCTCTCGAGGTGAAGCATGGGGAGGAGACCATTCGTTTCTGCGAAGGCCGAAGCTTTGGTGCACAGCGCAGCATCGCTGGAGAATTGGTCTTTCAGACTGGTATGGTGGGCTACCCTGAGAGCATCACCGACCCTTCCTACCGAGGGCAGATCCTAGTTATCACTTTCCCTCTCGTCGGCAACTACGGTGTGCCCTCTCGTGAGGACAGGGATGCTTTGCTTGGTGAGCTGCCAGCACATTTCGAGTCCTCTCAGATCCACATTGCTGGCCTGGTCGTCGCTTCGTACAGCGGCGAGGACTATTCACATTACCTAGCCAAGACCTCGTTAGGGGCATGGCTGAAAGAGCAGAATGTCCCGGCCATCTCTGGCGTGGACACCAGAGCTTTGACAAAGCGGATACGGGAGGAAGGTAGCATGCTGGGCCGATTGCTCATGCAGAAGGGCATAAGACGTGTCCCATACCCTGCGTTCATGCCCAGCGGCATGTTGACGCCCAATGGCCCTCTCACACCTGCTGTGAATGGAACACCTGCAGCAAATGGAACTCTAAGCGACGGGTACTTCCAGCACAATGGCCAAGCTCAAAGGACGAAGGAAGTGCCAATTTACGAGGAGATCGATTGGTACGATCCAAACGTTCGGAATCTGGTCGCTGATGGTGAGCATACTTTCCCCTGTAGTCCAAGACAGCATTGTCTGATTAGTGTCTATAGTTTCGATATCAAAACCAAAAGTTTACCACCCATCACCGTCCACTGCGTTGAAGCATCCGTCAGGTAGACCCGTCCGTGTCCTCTGTGTCGATGTCGGTCTCAAATTCAACCAGCTGCGCTGTCTCGTTTCAAGAGGTGTT